GCGTTGCAGCCGCGGCTGGGGATGCTGAAGCCCCGGGGAAAAAAGTCCTTTAGAAGAAAGAGAGAACCTGCTCCATCGCCTGTTGCATTCCGGCGCCTGCGTCGCTGTGTAGCACCACGTAGTTGCACGCAGATAGGATTGAGAGTGCCAGAACGCACCCTGCAGCTTCTAGTGAAGCGGTGTGTGGTCAGCGCCCCATTGCCCATGTAAACGATATCCTGCAGAAATACCGCGTCTTCTGTAAGGGAAGGAAGTACCTTTGGGTCTTCCAGTATATTTTATTACTTAGTCAGCACTGATGTTTGCGATTCTGTGTCTCCTGGCTGCTTTATTGTTACATTGGGAAAGTACAAGGGATGCGGCATGAGCTGCCGAAGTAAAACCCCCCTCTGTGCACGGTAGTGCAGGAACCGTGCTCAACTAGGAGGGACCGTTCCTCGATGTAGAATTTGAGGAAGCAACTGTGTTGAAGTCTTTTCCAGTAATTGTTGGGAAACGGAGCAGAAACCCTCAGAAATACAGTATCTCTTTATGTCTTTGTGAAATCGAGGTGAATTAAGAGAAACTTGCTAAATCTAGGCTACTGAACACTGTCTCCTTTAATTAAAAGGATGTTCTGGAGCAGTTTATGTGCACTCGAGTATCAAAGTTTTATGAAAGACTAATTTATTTAAAACTGAATTGTATTAACGGGCGAGTCTTCTTTTGAATGTGCAGTGCAGTGTTTTTGTTCAGGTCTTACATGCATACAACCCTAGCTGGACTTTCATGTATGCAAGCACTACTTAAAGCACCACTTAAATGCTCTTAGATACTTGGACTCTACCTTTTTTTTTCCTTATCTACTCATGAAGGGTATGTTGATTCTGCATTTTGGAGAACTGGTAAGGAGTTGCTGTATTGCTGAGTGCAGCTTCTGCAAGTGGAGAGAGTCTTATCATTCCGCTCAGGAGGGTGGCCACGTCTGTGTGGAGCTCCACTGATGTTACTGGCATTGCCCATGCTTACAGCCTGCTTGCACCCTGATGATTGTAGGGCTGAGCATTAATTTGCAGTTGCCTTTACAGTTCTGATACTTTTCTTAAAATCTCTTCTGATGATTCCCAATGTGTAAATGTCGGTCTGGTAGCAAACAACAGAGAATTGAACCCATTACTCTTGTTGCAATTTTAACAGTTCTCTACTAACTAGATTTTTGCAAAAGAGTGGAGATAAATAACTGACTTCAAAATTTGTATCATGTTGATCTTTGTTACGTCATCAATGGTGTTTTGTGTTACTTTTCCCAAACCCAAAGTTTCTCTCTTTTTGCTGTTTTTGGTTTTAAAATTAATTTCACCTCAGATATCTAAATTTATGTTTCAGAATTACTGTAAACTGTCACGTATGCTAAGTTTTTCAGTTTTTGTTTTGAGTTAGATTTTTTTAGATATTAAAATGTTCTCTGTTTTACTGTTCATTTTGTCTTTTTTCTTTTCCCTGTAGCTGCTTTGAGACAAGAATAATTTTATTTATAGAAGTATGTACAAACTGAAATGCAGCCCAAAGTGCAAATATTCCGGGGGGAATCATTTTTTTAACATCATCTCTTGCCGAGTTGCCATAAATGTTGTGGTTTAGTGCTTGTAATTTTCTGAAGCAAGTACAGTATAAAATTAGTTTTTCAGATCATCTGTATGGCCTTTTCTCCTACTTTGTGATTATCACTGCTGCATAATCTTTCCTTTTTTTTTTTTCCAGAGCAATTGAACAGATTTGCAGGCTTTGGTATTGGCCTTGCAAGGTAAGAGTTGTGTAATAATTTTCAGTGATAACGAAGTAGTAAAGGAATAGTTGTCTTATGATACCTATGTACACTTTTGTGTTGTGTTTTTATGCCAGTAGACTTAGGCAGTTGAAATGCCTTTTGAAACCTACTACTTCAAATCCATGTAGGTTTCTGTTGTCTATAACTGAAGTGTTTCTCAAAATTGCTTAATAAGCAGTGAATGTAAGAAACGTATTTTTGTATGGTATGCCCAGGATATATGTACCCTGTCAGAGCAATCTGAAAATAACACCAGAAAACTGTTTTCACGTTTGCCACTTTTATTAATATTTTTAGGTAGTGCGAATGTTTCCTAAGAAGGTGAAAATGTCTTCAAGTATATTATCACAGTATCCTGGAATAGTAATGTTGATCTAGCTGAGTGGTCCGATAACCGTTTTGTTCTTTATTATGGTGACACTCATTATTGGTAGTATTTTTAAGAAAGTGGTGGACTTTGATGTGCTTAATAACATTTTCAGAGCTTAAATTGTCAAGTGTAAGGATCATAAGCAAGGGATTTTTTTGTAGGATGCCTGCTCAGTCACCTGATAAGGTTTTTCTTGGTTGACATACTGAGACACCTTGTGAAAGGGTGGAACCCCTTGATGAGCCTGTTCAGTTTGTTAAAAGAGAGTTATTGGGGGGAGGAGGAAGAACTAGCCCCCTCAAATGTGTGAAGAGTTGTTTGATTTCTTTCCAACCTTATCAAGCTGAATGAGCTCAGGAGAGTACCAGCAAAGGAGTGGAGCCATAGAGCAGGAATACGTTGATCTCCTTCAGGAGCAGAGAGATGTTAGCGTGGCTCAGTTGTCCTTTTGAACTGTATGCTTTGATTTAATCAAGTGTGAGAAAGTTTTCCACATCCTGAGGCCCATGGCCACTAGGACTAAAATCAGCACGTGGTTTTGGAAAAGAGAGCTAATAAACATTGTACCATTGCTGAGAGCAATTCTACCTGCTTCTGCTTTTGCATTTGTACCAGATCACTTGTCAGACACACACGGTTCAAGTCAGAAATCTTGTAGAAAACACCCAAAAGAAAAGGTTAGTTTTTGTGAGGTGAACTGAGTTGACTACCAGGAGGGCTTAAGAGATAGCAGCTGGAATACAAGGAAAGTTTCACCTCTTTTGGTAGCAGCAAACTACTAATTAGCTTAATAGTTATAAAACTGCAAGCTCAGTACTTTTCTGTGTCAATTAGTACTTGTTTCTCTGGAGTAAAATCCCCATAAGAGACCTACCGCAGATGATCCCAGGTTTGAACCACATACAGGTAAGTACTCTGATGACTCAGGCACTTTGAGATGAAATGAAAAGTTGCTTTGCATGTCTGTGACCAGAAATCCTGCTTTAGAACTAAGAAAACTTTCCTATGAAGGTTTGATTTGAAATACCATTGATTTGAAATACCATTGATTGAAATACCATTTCTGGGGGTGGAGGGAGAGTTGGTTTTGGGTGGTAGCATTTTCCGATTAAAAAAATGTCAGCTGTTAGTACCAATCCTCTGGCCTTGCTCATGGGAGTCTTGATTAATAATATGGTATGTGGAATTCACACAAAACTGGGAACGAATCCTTCCTCTGGTCGGTTTTGTTCCCTCATATTCTGCAGAGGGAAAGTTTAAGAAATTTAGTATGTTGTTTTCCCTATAAAAATACCTACATACTATATAGAGATATATATATATGTGGGCTTTTTCATAGTGAGTGTATGTGTCAGGTTTTTTGATAGTTATTCCTTTATAGTATTGGCTGGCTATCAGGTAGACACCCAAAATGCTTCATTAATTCACTAGATAATGTATAGTTTTTCCAAATACTGATCTAATGTTGTTAGAGAAAAATAACAAGCCTTTTCTAATAAATTTATGATGGCTTCCCATGCTTTAAATACACTTTTGTTTTAAAGCCTATTTACAGAAAATGTATTGGCACATCCTTGCATTGTTCTACGTCGTCAGTGTCAGGTATGTCTTTTATATTACCTCTTCCAGTCAGAGCTCCTGTGTACTATGATATTTCTGTGCTTTCATACTCTGTAGAGTATAGGGAAGCTTTCCAATTCTTAGGAAGACACTGCTACATTAACATGTTTTGATTTGTAGCATATATGTTTTCCATTCTGAAATTTAACTTACCTTGAACATTCTTATTCTTTTGTTTTTGGGGCAGTGGAAAATGAATTACAGCAAGTGTTTCAGAGTCTGCGTAGCAACTTCCAGATCCCCATTTACAAGCAGGATGCTTTGTTTCCAATATCTTCTGGTTTCTGCTTGCTTTATTTTCAGCATACAAATATGTAAAAGTTCTGTTTCCCTAAATTTCAGTGAGAATTTATTCATATTTTGGTCACTATAGCTGACCTTTACAGAGATGAAGTCCTTATTTTGGAAGTGCTTTTTCCTTTAGAGTTGTAACATCTGCAAGTATGTTTGTAAAACTGCCATTATTTATATTTTTTAACAGGTTAACTATCATGCTCGGAATTATCATCTCACTCCGTTTACTATTGTCAATATCATGTACAGCATCAATAAGACACAGGTCGGTATTTGGTGTCAGGCTGTATCTGAGCAGTGAAAGTTACTATAGCACATATGTACAGTGACATCTTTAACTCTTTATGTAACTGGTGGTTAAAAACATGGCCATTGTAAGGGTTTGTTATTTTTATGGTTGCAGAAATGTTTCAAGAAGATAACTATAATTTTTTTTTAGTAGTATAGTATTCAGTGGGGAAGACTTGCAGATGTTAGAAAACAAAAGGTCCCTCAAAACTGATTTTTTTCATGAGGATTCTGAAAAATAATTAATCTTTATGTGGATAAAGAGATTAGGCAAATGACTACTTCCAAAGATAATATTGCATGAATTACCAATTCTGTATGGGAATGGCAATCCTGAAACTCAGATCAGAGGACAGTAAGAAAACACTTTCTGGATTTCTTACGCATGTACTTAAAATCACAAGCTCTTTTTGCCCGTAGAAAATGGTGTTAAGTTTATAATACACAGTATTAACAGTGAAAGATATGCCTCCAAAATTGTTGACAGCTCTTTGAAATTATTGAAGAACAAAAGTTTCTTCAGAGTTGAAAAGTTAGTTGTCCCCTGAATTTGATGATAGTGAAGTTTAATGGTAGAATTGTAGCCCTGTGCGGTCTGAATTTGCTGAAACTTCATAAAAATTAGTAAGATGAGAAGACTTTTGAGTTTTATGTTGCATGAACCAAAATGTTGCATATTTCAAAACACAGGGTCCAAGAGCTCTCTGGAAAGGAATGGGCAGCACTTTCATTGTTCAGGGCATAACCCTGGGAACAGAAGGCATCATCAGCGAATTTACACCTTTGCCAAGGTATTGCATGCTTTTCTTACTGCTTCTAACAATTCAATCATCAGTTGTTGACTTATATTCAAAGTGTTAGAAATGTAAGGCTGTTTGAAAAATTTTGCTTGGTCTGTCTGCCTACTGGTCTGAGTATAGCAATAATGTAGCAAATTGATCTTCAGGCTAATTCTACTGTAATAAAAGAATTTATAAGTTTCTTCCTATATTTTGGTTTGTATTGTGTGCTACTAGCAAATACCATGTCTAAAGTAAAGTCCTAGTTTCATTAATCTAAATACAGAAAACTCAGATGGCTAATGAGCCAGCACTGACATCTTGCTGAATATTTTTACTGTCTTTAGGTGAGAGGACAGAATGGCCTGCATTAATAAATGAGAAGACATGGCAAATAAGAGTATGTGGCTGTCAGCTTTGTCTTCTCTCTTCCTTTAGCAACAGCTATGTTTACATTGTTCAGTATTCTCATAATAAAGGGGTTACAACTAAAAATGAGTGACTTCATTTAAAGAGATATTCGCTCATTTGAGTATCACTGTGTCCATCTTCAGCTATAGTAGCTTAGTAATAATTTTTTATTTTGATTTGTGACTCTGCCTGGTTTTTATGCTGAACTTTAACTCCAGGATTATGGTAAAACATTGTGATGTCTTTCTGCTTTGAGATACAAGTCTAATAAAGAATTTTTGTCTGAAGACTTTTATCAGTGTTTTGTTTTATAAAGGTCCAGAGCTAATAGTAAGGGCTGACAGCTGTAATAATATGTATTGTCAGTTTTGTTACAGTTATTTTAAGAGTGAGCAGGTTGTGTGAGAGAGTTTATTAGGTAAAGTAACTAAAACTTTTAGGGAAATGTGAGGAGACTGTGAGATAATTAAAAGTTAGGAAAAGATACTTAACAGTTGCAGGGCACACACTGAAGCCAGTAAAATCATAAAGACCTGCCTTGGAAAATATATTAGGGAGGCAGGCAAGTAGTCAGGTTTAAGGCTGGTTAAGCTTGAATGGACCAGTGTGCTTGAGAATCATGTTAGCTTTCAGAAGAGACGAGTGCCTATTTTTAATGTGTGGACAGAGACCAGGTACGTAGGGGACATGGAAACTGACCTGGTTTTAAAGATAAGAAATGTAGGCAGGCTGAATCAAACTACTATTATGATGTGTGCATGCATACTAATAAAAGTATATCTTTGCAGGTTCTGGCATTCGTCAAAAGCATTAGCAAAAGCATTTCATAATTGAATTGTGTGGAGTGTGTATTTAAGCTTTTTGGTTCAGCTCTGTCTCATACATAACTGGAATTTTCAGGCATACACTTTCCTCCAAGTGTGACTTCTTGTTCTTGTTTTTAAATACTGCTGTAGGGGATGCTTAAGTTCATGAGATGTGATATAGTGTTTATATTTTCATAGTTCCAGTTTCTGTCCAATGTAAGCAAGGATTTTCTTCTTGTGGGCCAGTTGTTCAGTAGTTTGAAAAGTAACGTGGTGCCGCTGCTAAAAGAAGCGATCCTTTCTGCTAATACCTGCTCATTCCTTCCTCAGTGCTACCCGCATCCTTGTGCCAAGACAGTATGTGAACAGTCACAAAATGAACTGGACTGGGGAAGTGATCTGACTAAAATGGTTGTCTTGTATGTGCACCACCCCATGCAGTTTTCTGCTGGATGCTCTCCCTTCCTTTTTAATGGTAGCATGTGTATTTGGGCTGTCACACAGAAGTGAAGGTGATTGCTTATAGCAGCAGTGCCAGCAAGTCTGATTTAAAAGGTTATTTAACTACATTATCAAGCTCCAAAGAACACAAGGATGTGAGATGTCAATCCCAATTCTATATCACAGTATCATAAAAGAATCCCTCTGGTTTAGGAGAGGGGCCCAGAAATGGGCGTTAACGATTTTGTGGCAAATTGAATGTGGTTCTGTGCTAGACAAACTCATTCCGTAATTGTTCTTCCACTGCAGGAATAGTTATACCTAGTGGATTGACCGGTTAGGCTTTCACACATTAGTTTGGCTGGTTTCATTTTCCACATCTTTTAAGTATTACAGCTCAGTGGATGTGATCCAAGTGTCTGAAATACATAATGGTAAAGGATCTTCCCTTCCTCTTTAGGTGTTTCCTTTTTTGGATTAAAGTTGTAACTACAGGCAGTGGGTGAGTGCAATTCCTGGACAAGAATTGAACCTGAACACTTTATAGCTTACTATTAAAAATGCATCGTCTAGTGTGTACAGCATTTCAGACAGAAATATCTCTACCTCATAGTTAGAGTATTTACCAAACATATGGTAAATACGTTTGGTATTTTAATGGTATCTTGAACTAGGTGGGATTTTCTGTTAAGCGGAGTGTAGTTAACGTTTACTGTTCATATTTTGAAGTGTCTAACTAGAAAATACTACTTTAAGAGGATTTTTTTTTAAAGTCACCTTTGTGTTAAACACATGGGTTTTCTTTTGTTTTACCAGGATATGCTAAAGACTGATCATAAGCCAAAAGACTTGAGTTAAGTTTGTACAGAATTACTATGCAGCTTCTAGTCCGACCTATTGTACTTGACTTGGTCTTATCTGTGTCAGAATGTGATCTAGGTTTTCAGGAAAGAAACAACAACTGGGTAAACATAACCTCAGAGAACAGAAAAAGCATAACCAAACCAAAACATAATAAAAAAACTTATGTTGATAAAGGAAAACTATTGAGATTTTAAAATAATCCAATATTGCCTGAAAATGGCTTTATGAGTTAGTACATAAGGATGCAAAATAAATGCAAAACACTAAAGCCAGCAGCTGTGAGAGCTGCAGACACCTTATTAATAATTGAAAGCTTTTTTGGTAGAATATCTATCAGGCCTGAATAACTTTTAAAAGTTAGGTATGATTTATTAAATGTGTAGCTGATACGTCTTTCCACTATGGGAAATTCTGCAGCGTAAGCCGATAGTAGAACACCAATATGAAAACTGGGTGTTGATACCCATGGAAGAAATGCTTGAGAATAAGGTGTTCTTATCCATGTTAAGGCAAATACTTTTTCTTTTTAGGGAGCTTTCACATAAATGGAACCTCAAGCAGATAGGTGGACACCTCCTACTCAAAGGGTAAGAATAGCATGTATTACTACCTTATGTCTTATTATCTAAGCATTAATAAAACTCCTACATGTACATTAGTTTAATCTGCAGCTATGGTTTCTTGGCAGGGTGCTAATAGTAATTTTCAAATCTTTTTTTTCTGAACAATCTTGATTGCATACACCACTTTCACAGATTGTTTGCTCTTACTAGATCCTTGTGTCTGTATGAAACCTGTCTAATTTAAAAGATTAGATTCTTTTAGTAATTAAATTATGATATCTAAGAGACTTGAATCAGTCTGGTCACGTGGAAATAGAATTTAACAGAACTCCAGATCTCAACTTGATGTGCATTTTGATAATTGAGTTATGGTTTGTTAATTTTCTCTCAGGCATGACTTGGTAGATAACTTTATCAACTTCCAGGTGCATACTTGGCTAAAATGATAGTATTGGCATGACCTTAATTCTTATCTTGTTAATTTCCACAGTTTAACACATGTGATAGCAATGCCTTTTTATTCTGCGAGCCTGATTGAAACTGTGCAGGTAACTTACATACATTTACAACATTTTAAAAGATACTGTTCTTCTCTTTATAGATTAGATTATGTGGAGAAGCCAGTCTTTGGTTTTCGATTCAGGTTTATGTTGCAGTAGTTGCATTTGTTATGCTTGAGGCTTTATGACTTGTTAACTGAGATAAAATCTATTTATTATGATGGGTCTATTAGTTGCACTATCTTAAGTCTAAATCTAGAATTAGAAAGGACATTTAATATAGATAGGTGGAATATGTCGTCTATGAAATAAGGACAAGTTACATCTATATGTTCTAGCAGATAAACCGTAAAGAAGTTTTTCTCATATAAAGGTTTTAAAAGGCTTGCTAGGCAAGTTGTTGCGGTGACCTCTTCCCCTGTAACAACTATAAAGCTTTGTTTCGCTAGAAGACTGAACTCTACTATTTCAGGGCTGCTTTCATTCAGTCAGCTTTTTGCTTTTAAATTTTCATCTAGTTCTTCCTTAGCCATGAAAATAAATATCTGGACCTGTCACTTAGGATGCAGCTCAACTTCTTCTCTAACTGTACAGAGTAACCCATAGCACTGTATTGCGGATTGTCTTTCAGGGAATTGTTGCATCTCTGGAGAAAGAGACAAGGTTTAGCTATGCAGAAGTGGTCCAGGGTAATTCTTCCAGCTATCTCTATATAATGAGTTACTCTTAATTAACATGATAGTATCTTTGTGCAGCTAATGGGACTCTTACTGTAAAGTGAGCTGTCATGTGGAGGGTGGTGCAAAATAGTCATTCATGTTGTTCAGTCATCAAAATAATAATTTTCATTCATAGCATAGACAAGTTTTAAGTACTGTCAAGACTGATTTAGAGCCAGTTGTTTAAACCTACAGCTCAGCTGCTGGTGTATGTCTACAAAATGGTGCTTTTGCCATGGAGAAGAGGCAAATAAGGCTGACTTCTAGAGTTTCTTAGTTTCAACATGTAGTTTAGAGGCAGGTACTCTTAAGGGACAGGGTTATGCTCTGTGCAGAGGATCCAAACTTAAAGGAGCCAGAAGGTATGAGGAAGGCTGTTCTGTCTGAACTGGCCACATTATGGACTAACAGGACAGGTGAGATTAAACATCTGTGCATGGAAGTATGTAGATAGACTGGCAAAACAAAATTCGCATTCTCTAAACTTACTCTGTATTTAAGAAACCCTTTTCCTCTCTCCTGTTGAATTATTTTGAAAATAATGTTCCATAAATCCAGCTTGAGTGGATCTTTTGAGCTTGTGGAAGCCTTGGGAAGATTTAATCCATCTTATACTGCAAAGCTGACTTAGGAAACTATTTTATGTCCTGGGGAACAGCTTTGCCCTGAGCATGCTGCAATCCTGGAACTAGAAACAGCGGTAGAACACTGTTCGTGTTTCTTGAGTTCATAGCAGGCCACAGAATGGAATGTTTTATTCGGGTATCTTACTGCTTGTATTTTTGTCTGAAAGGCTGTTATCTGTGGTGTTGGACATGGGAACATATTTACCAATAGATGATAAAAGAGAGCATGATTTAGAGCCTTTAGAGCATGATTTTGCAAGCCTTCTGCTTGCAAAATAAGTAATAAAATTTCTTTGCTAGGAAGCAGCTTAATAGGAAGACAATCAAAAAGCCAAAACAGCAACTACCCCAGCCTTTTAGATAGGTGATCATCTCTGTAAAGCATTACTTATGAAAATAATTCCAGTGAGATCTGAGGAGTTTAGGCTTAGTAGGTTCAGCTGCGTGCAAGTATTTTACTGAACAGGTGTATATATGCTGTATGAAATGTATTCTCCAGTTCCTGGAAACATCATCACGAGCTTTCTGATTAGAAACACAACAGAGGTAATGACAGCATTTGTGAAGACTCAGTTTGTGCTATATTAATCGGTGCAGAGAGGCAACTTGGCTTATCAGGTTTACATTATATTCCTGTGCTGCAAGAGGGTGATGACCAATAACAAACTATAGAAGTTAGAGATTGTGGGATTTGTTAATAACAGTTTTATACTAACTTTGATTGTCTTAATTCTGATAAACCATACTGTTCAAAGTATTAGTTTGACACAGTTCTCCAAGTAAATATATTTCCTCAAAATAACTGTAAATGGTAGAAAATTGTAGCTGTCACATTACTGTTTTTCTCTTTAACATTTCAAACCACATGGTGGCGTGTTTGACGAAAGCAGGCACAGTTTTGAAGTACCATGACTATAATGATATGGGGAAGAAGAGGATTCAGGGGTTATGATGCTTAACGTTTACCTGAAGTCTAGAACAACATTATATTCTCAAGTATTTGAGCTAGTTTCTCTTCTGTGCAGACTGACCATGAAGGCTTTGCAGGGTGTTAGTCCTTCCCCAGAGTACTGAGGAATGTTCTGGTGGTTTGACCTGGCAAGAGGTCAGGACGCGGCCAGCATGGACTGAGAGACTTAGGATTTGGGAGTTCTCCACAATGCCCGAATTTTGGATGTAACAGAGATGATAAAACACTGAGTTTGTATAAGTATTAGAAGGGGAAACAATGTCTTTAGCTTAATTCTACAGTCATAGGTGGAGTATAACAGAGTAAATAATTACTAAGTGAATTCTTTATTTTCACTACATGAACAAAATAATTATCTCTTTCCTAAGAGGCAGCATGGGTGAAGAGTGCCATTTGCCAAGATGCAAATAATGGAATGGAAGTGTTCAGAGCTGAACCTACTAAATTAAAATTAAAAATGATCTTTCAACTCAACTTTAGTTACGGAAGTCTTTTATTATGCTCATTCAAGTTCAAAGACTAGAGTTATAGTCCTTAAAGAAAAGGCTTTTAAATTAGATAAATACTTTCTGGCATTTTGCTCCGGAAGTAGGCATTTTCAGTACATGATGGTTTTGCAGACTGATATTTTCAGTAGTAGGCTGAAAGTTGAATTTCTTTGGTAGTAACACAATTAACTGAAATGTATGTTAAATAAAGGCTCTTTAAGATGGGTTCATTTTTTAAAAGCAAGTTTACTTGAATGCTATCAAGAGTGTTAGAACAAAGATTTATATCAACATATCTCTGTAGATAAGATAGCATGCAAATGTTTAACTCTGTTCCAAAGTTCATCAGTGATAAAGTGTCAAAGTGGATGTCAGCGTGGTTCTGAAATGGGCAGCACAAGTTGTAACTATTCCTTTGTGCTTGTAGAGCGAAATAATTCGAGATAATCCTGGCATCCTGGACTGCGTGAAAGAAGGAATCGGCAGAGTTGTAGGCATGGGAGTACCCCATAGCAAGCGTCTCCTTCCTCTGATGGTCTTGACGTTTCCAACTGCTCTACATGGAGTTCTTCACTACGTCATCAGTTCCATCGTCCAGAAGCTTGTTTTGTTTGTTCTGAAAAGGGATAATTCCCACAACCTTCCAACTGAGAGCTCCACTTCTGTGCAGAGCATGCTGGATGCGTATTTTCCAGAACTTATTGCTAGCTTTGCTGCTAGCCTTTGTGCTGATGTCATGCTCTACCCACTGGAGACAGTTTTACACCGCCTTCATATTCAAGGAACACGCACAATAATTGACAATACAGACCTTGGCTATGAAGTGCTTCCAATCAATACTCAGTATGAGGGAATGAGAGACTGCATAAATACTATAAAGCGGGAGGAAGGAATGCTAGGTTTTTATAAAGGATTTGGAGCTGTTGTAGTACAGTATACCTTGCATGTGGCAGTTTTACAGCTTACCAAAATTATTTACTCAACACTGCTTCAAAATGTTTCTTAATCTGTTCAGGTGTGGATCTAGCGCAGTGGACATGATTGACTTACTAACCTTATTGTTTAAAATGGCTTATAAAATGAAGTTCGAAGAATCTACTCTGTGGATTCTCCTTACACTGTAAAACAACTTGTTTTAAAAATGGGGATATAGATGCCTAAGTGTAACTTAAAAAGTACTGTTTAAATTTAAAATTATAGACACAAACTGAATATATAGTGTGCAGTTATACAGAAGGGAATTGGATTTCAAATGTGGTTGCAGTGAAGATTTACGTTTCCTCTTACCAGTTAACTGATTTAAGGAATGGATATGAATTCTCAGTATCTTCTTTATAAACATCAATCTGATATTTAATTTGGACTGCTAGCCAGTTCAAAGGAATTTATTTTCATAAGTTGTAAGAACTTGCAAGTGTGAGACTGATGGGTTTACTGGTCTTTTAAAAATATTTTCAGCTTCACTGTTAATGGAGCTGCGAGCAAAATAGAAACTGTAAAAGTAACTTAAGTAGACATAAATGTCGTAATTTACAGGTACGTAGGAGACTTCTTACTTTGCTGCAGTGTGGCAGAAGATGATGAAGAATCTTTTGCTTTGTACAAAATAACAAAAACTTGGGTTTGAGCAAAGTTGCACAGAATGCAGATTTGGCTGTCTTGCAGTTTGTTTGCAAGGCTTACAGTAACTAAAATGTGTGAATAAAGCAAATTAGAAACTGATGTGTGCATGTGTAAGTGCCATTTTTAGTCGACTTTCCACTCATAACTTCAGGGTTTAGTTTTACTCTGCTACTTCATATAAGAGTAGAATAATCTTACAAATGTATGTAGTATCAGTGTTCAAAGTGTATAGAAAGTGTGAAAAGTTAATTGGCTATTTGTAGAGTTTCTTTTGTTAGATCAGAGAGGTATGTACACAATTATCTACTTACTATTTAGCACTGATGTCCATTTAAAGTCTCTGCTGGATATTTTGTGGAGCAGAATGAAGTCTGTTTATGTGCAAGCAAACTACTGAAATGTACCATTTTCACCCTCTTCCCCTAGTAAATCAAGACTTTCAGTCTGAAAATGAGTTCTGACCATTCTAAATAACTTGGTTCTTCTTGGTTTCATCAGTAAATATCATGAAAGTTGGGGGAGGGAGGATAATTTTTAGCAAATAAAACAAGCATGTGGAGAGTCACTTTTAAATTATATGAGAGGCTGCTGCCCTTTTCACACTTCCATGTGGCAAGTCTATCTTTGTGAATACTGTAAACTTATGTGCATTTTAATCATTAATCATTGTATAGCGGTTGTCACTTATGGAAAGTAGCCATGGCAAAATAATGAAAAGGTGTTACTGTTCGTAAGTTCTGACTTTCAATCATTTGTGGGTCTACTTTGCTATTATTAATCTAACTTTCATGTATTTTAAATGCATAAGTGTTGAAATGGAAAGTATAGTGAACTTGGGAACCAGTTTTATTTTGAAATATTGTTAATTGCAAATTTAGTGTATAGAATGGAAGCAATGAAATAAAATGAGAATTCACTGTAAATATTTTGAAGTAATTCACTGAAGAGGCATGTAAAGGAATCCTGATTTCTGTGTTATATTTTATTGTATAGGCTTCAGAGTGGCTTTTTCAAATTCCTCAACTTTCCTAAGTGCAAGAAACAACATGCAAGAACTTGGGTGAAATATTCAATTCCAGGCTTGTATTTTTGAAATTTCTATGAGTATGAAGACAGCCATATTAGAGAATCATCCAGAGAGGAAAGGATCTTGGCAGGTCGCCTAATCTAAATTCCTGCTCTAAGGAACAACAGGACAAGGACAACATTGACTTCAGACCAGATTGTGCAGGCCCTTGTCCAGTCAAGATTTTCATTCCAACTTTTAATGCATAAACCCAGCCTTTTTAAAGGTGTTAAATTCAACTGAAGCCAACTATTTAATCACAGTTGCCTTGAAGTAGTAACCAAGTGCATGTTGGAGACCAACACTTGCAGATGTATCAGTGAAATTCGGCGATAATGTTTTTCTAGGAATAAAACTTTAGGGAAGGCATTTTGTCATAGGAAATGGAGGACCTGCCTTTATATATTCTGCGAAGGGGAAGATAGTGACTGCTCAGATCAGCACTAGATATTTTGTTAGAATATTAACGTGTGTCAAACACTCTTGCTTTCGTTGCTGACAGTTTTAGGGTTCTAGTCTATGCCAGAGCCTCAGATCTGTAACTTTAAGCAGGGTGAGAAAGAATGCTGTCAACTTACAGCAACTGTTCTGCAGTAGAAAAGCCATTTGCTTTGGGCTATTCTTTTTTGGTCCTCTTCCCATCAGTTAGAATGAACATGTTTTGATTCTTCATGTATACTTGCTTTACCTTCCAAAAGAAGTAATACTCTGCTCTGTTCAGAGTTGCTATTTTTGCCCATGCATAAATGTGAATGAATGTGGGTGAAAAAAACTTTTTTAACCTTTTTAATCATAAATGTACTGTTAATGTATTTGGTTTTCATTTGGATATTAAATCTACGTACTCAATTTTTAGCTCAAATGAGTGATCAATACATGGCTTCAGAAGTTCTTATGCACTCTAGTCTTCCTGATACAAACTTAATTCCTTTTTGTACATTGTTTTTCTGTCTTTTTTCATTTTTAAAGAAGAGAGGTGATTTCAAGAAGAGAAATGTTACTGAAGACAGACAGACTCAGTGTAATGTTCCCACCCAGTGAAGAATTACTTGGCTTCTTACCCATGCTTCTTAAAAGGCAAGCCTTGATGTGCAATAATTGACAGTAGACCAGGCAGGAAGCTTTGAGTATATGAGGCCTGCTGGAAACCATTGCAATTAACTGTCTGTGTTGCTTCACAGACTGCCTTAGATCGAGCTTGACTTTTGATTGTGTTACAATAAAGCTTTTAGATCTGGTGTTGGTGCGAGTACTACATTCTTCAGCAAGGTTCCAGCTACATTCAGTCCTTTTAGGAGGTCTGCTGTGGGGCATGCATGAGTTGATTGAGCTCTAGGTGCTGTCCATAATACTTGAGATTTGCAGTGTGTTTTACGGATTTATGCAGAATTCATTAAGACTCAAATTATATGCTTTCCTTAGTTCTCCTGAATTTAGCAGAAAGTTCAAAGCAAGTATGTAAGCTAATCCCCTTCTTGCTGCTTGTGCCATCTGAGATGGTCATTCAGCTGGATACACGCCTTCAGCTACAAATATAACCAATGCACGTGGTGTAAATGAAGCCTGTGTTTGCATGAACATACAAGTTCTTGCTGTGCTCTGAAATTTTTGTTGGTATAATTCAGGGTTAGCAGTAGTCACTTTAAACCTATTTGCCCTTTCAATGATGTCCAAGGAGAAGGGGTCGCACACTAAATTTTTCTACTAAATGGTTGTTGCTAAGAGATTTTAGGGCAGCATATAAGGGCAGCATTCCCTCACCTCTGTGGGAAGAGAGGTGGTAACAAAATGTGAATAAACCATTTGTCTAGTTTTGTTATAGAAATGTAATACATATCTCCAGCTGGGGCAAGAAGATAAGGTCTTTATTTAATCAAGAAGTAGTAGCATCTGTGTTTTAAAAGCAAATCTGATTTTAAGGAGTTGGATAAAAGTGGATTTTCAGATTTTTTTTGATGGAACAAAGGCAATTTGCTCTTTACCTTCAGGACTCTAGCCTCCCTGCAGGCAGTCTGGCAGATTGTGAACAAAATTTGAGGGTGGGAAAGAAACAGTATTGAAAATGGAATGTAGGAATTGACCAAAAATGTAGATAAAAAGAACTTGACGATTAATGTTCTCAATTGCAACATATTAATAAAATAAAGTAGACATGTCCAAATGTTAGTGTTTATGGAGCATTTCATTTGGAAGTCTGTTTCTGTCTTTACCTTTCAAACGGTGTTTGTAAAGATAAGTTAAAATCACAAAACGTTTTAAGCCCAACATACCCCTTTTTCCCTGTGATACTTTGAAATTAACTCAACTAAAAAGTCAGGTATTCTTTCAGCTTTTTCAATAGGAAAAAAAAAAGCCATCTACATCTTCCCTTCAAGTCAAGGCAGCCGTTCAATGGATGTAAATACAATTATACAGCAGTCCAATACTGCAGTTACAGATTTTTTTTTTATTATTATTATTTAAACTGCTAATGAGTTGGCTGCAGTATGCACTGCCTGTGGCAGGTTGATCTGGATGAGATAACATCACTCTTCCGTTGTTTTCAAAGTGTAGGGACAGAAAGTGACTTGTGCCCACCAAAGTAATAAAATCAGAAGGGTTGGTTTAGCTGTTACCTGAAATTCTGAGTCTTGCTTTTATTTCACAGCCTTAAGCTTGGCACTAAGCCAAGTCCAGAACAAAAGGACTTGTTGGGCAGGACTTGACTCTGTTCTGCATAGGCATTTCATGTCTTTGCCCAAACTGAATTTCTAGAGGCAACAGGCTTATACATTGACATTCCTGATTCTTGGTTTTAGGGTACCTCCAGAAAAGAAAAACAGTAGATTTGCTTTTACTGCAACAGTGAGCGTAACTCACTGAAGTTTTTGATCCCTGAAATAGAATCCTGAATTTATGTATGTAATATTTGAGCCTTCAAGCATGTTGTGTAGGAATAAGCACCAATATGCACACTTGCCTTGATTCCCAGCTCTTAGCTGGTAGCAGCTCTTTTCAGTACCATTCAAAATGGGTATGACACTTTTGATGTCCATACAGACCACTGACGTGTTTTATGGTCTCTACAGGTATCAGTCTAAACCTGTTGAGAAGTCGAAGCACAGGCAGGATTTTCAGAGACTCTTACCCATGGCCTAACTTTATGTATGCAAAATGAGGCTGAAGAAAAAAAACAAACGAAGGCAATGGGAAAGAGGATTCCTGAAACTACGTATGTGCTTACCAACGTGAGCACCTTGACGAGGAGGTACATGTCACTTTAACAGCGATTTGAGCACAGTGGAGGGAGGGAGACAGTTTCTCATGTAGCTATGTGTGTTTCAGGAGCTTAAAAATGCCTACAGTGTTTTCTTTCAAGGGTAGAGGGTTTTTTTTTTCTTTCCATTACAAGCAAGAATAAAATGGCAAAAAGGCTGCTGTGATGTAGGTAACTGTTGTGTAACCATTTTGACTTGCTTTGAGAAGTACTAAAGTACATTTAGTTTGGTTATTTTTTTTAATAAAAAGCAGCTACTCATCACCTTTATGAAGCCTGCTTTTACCAAGAAAATGACTGTGTCATGACCTCTTTGGCCATTTAATTTCATCGATTTGCCAACATAATGTATCCTGTAGAAACTCACTTCATGTGTTTTTCCCTCTAATACTTTTGTGTCTGATAAGTGCTGTCTAATAATGGAGTTTCCTCAACGTAATGCCCTTCAGTCTTCTTAAATAGACTGCTGTTGAAAAATGGTTCCAGTTACTCCATAAAAGGGAAAATAATTGGGTATTTACATATGATTTCAACATTTTTCTCAGTGGAAATGCTAAACAGACATTTTAGGTTACAAAGGAAACATACTACTGACGTGTAACAAGTTAAAAATTTTTGAACTTCCTAAAATGATCTGTGTGAGCTTGTTCTATTAATAAACACAGTATTAGGAAAACCTTACAGAGTGCAATATAAAAAGTTGGAATTATACTTAGGGGCTAACTGGGAAGCTCTGTAACTGACACTGCTTGGGAAACTAATGCTTCTGCTTCC